GAATGGGGAGCAAGGGAGAGGGCATGTAAACACTCCCTGAAATCCATCTATCTTGATGGGCAAGTAGCTAGTCGTTTCAGAAATCTACTGGATACTAAAACATGGACTCAATATTGACATTGGGTTTATGGCACATTATAACCTGCCTGACATCTAATTTACCGGGTACCTGCCAAATCTGACCTCTTACATTCTTCTTTTCCCTCCCCTCCCCTCCCCTCCCCTATTTTTCTGCCCTTTGTCTTCCTAATTTTCAACTATCTCCTTTTTCATAGACAGCCTCTTTTTTACCTTGTATTACTATCACTGGACTGCCTCCCTTTTGCCTTTCCCCTCCCTGCTTTTTCTCCCCCTCCCCTTCCCTGTTTTACCTTTTGTCTTTCTAATTTCTACCCATGGGTGACTGGTGCTTCCTAATACTGGGGGGCACCAGTGGCTGATCGCCGACTGAGGGGTTCGGGGTGGAGAGGAAGCGGCATGCTTCTGTGCGTATCCCACCGCTGGGCAGGCTGGGCAGCAAGGCACATGGCACTGCCACACTGCTTCCAAAGGTGCGGAGCAGGCAGAGCCCAGCTTGCCTTGCAGCTGCAGCCCACCCTTGCCCTATGCAAAGATTGTGGGGGGGGGGGAGTGGGGTCATGTGCCCCCTTGGCTCCCCGGTCCCATGACCTGGCCTGGCCGGGGCTCCATTCACCGGGAACTGGGCTCTGACCAGGCCAGGTCATGGGGCAATCAGAGCCCAGTGGCTCATCCAGGGCCACAGCGCGTTGGAGCCAAGGGGTTGGGGGAATGTGCTGCCACTCCCCTGCAGTGAGCACAGTGGTGGGAGCCGCCGGGCTCCCCTGCCTCATGACCCGGCCCGACCGGGATCACATTCCTTGTGAATGGGGCCCCGGCCAGGCTGGGTCATTGGACAACCCCCACAGTATAGCAGGGGCAGGGGTGAATGATTCGGCCCTGCTCCACTCCCTCCTGCACTGTGGGGGTCTTGATCTCTTCCCCCTCCCACCCCAAACCCAGAAACTAAAGAAAGAAAGCTTACCTACCTGCCTGCTGTGTTGGGCTGGCTGTGAGCCTGGAGCGCCCCTCTCCCCTGCTGCAGCAGCCTGCGGCCAGGTTGCCCTGGCGTTTGAAGGGGCTGAGTCCCATTAGCCCCCCCTTTTTTCCCAATGGCTGATCACTGCTGCCGGCACTTCTCTCGGGGTCGGGGGGGCACGGCCAATCTCGGGGGGTTCACATGCAGCCGCGTGTACTCCCTACGCATCGCCAGCATTTCTACCTATTTACATTCTCACTGACATCCTGCCACAATTTCAGGTTCTCTCATTCCTTGGAGTCTCAGTACAGCAGAGACTCCCTATGTCTGAAGAAGGGTGTTTGTGCCCAAAAGCTTGCTAAGAACTTTTTTCTGGCTACTTGGTTGGTCTAATAAAAGATACTGCATCTGCTCAAAAAAAAAAACTTGCCTGCCTTGATTTCATTCCATCCAGGAAGAGCGCACACCAACTGCTGAAACTGCCTTAGCCTGACGAAGGGTTTTTGAACCCGAAAACTTGCTTAATAACTATTCTCCAACTATTTGGGTTGGTCTAATAAAAGATATCAAATTCACCCAAGGAACCTTGTCTGCCTATGTCCTTAGACCAACACGGCTACAACCTACAACTTTGATTCAACAAAGCACTTATGTATATATTTAAATGTAGCCATGTGAGCAATCACATCCTTACTCTGCAAAATGCATAAGTGTTTGCTTTATCTCACCTGCCTGAGAAACTGAAATGTGAAGGAGTTCCTTGTTGAAAACACTGTTGGTGACTTTCTGCTTTTAATTTTTTTTGCCATTGTCTTTGGCTCTGGCATTCAGTGTCACAACAGAGCCACTGTGATCACACCTCTAACTTTTGAGTGTGCATGTGGTGATGGAAAACCTGAGCCTGAAGCCTATCCATATTCGTCTTGATTCCTATTGATGCCAGTGGGATTTAGATTAGGCTTTTGTTTATGAGGTTTCTTTTTGGTGCTGCTCTTGCATCTCCAGTTTGTGTGTGTTGTGGGGAAGGAGGGTAGAGGGACATTGATAGCTGTGGGATGGCGGGAAGGGAAGTAGAAGAGTAAAGTGATAGCTTTTGAGATTATGCAGACTCTGAATTGTTTAAAATAACTTTTTGCTATAGGTAACTGGTCTGAAAATTGAAACAAATACAGAGGCAGATACATCAATGATAGAAGTCAAAGTTTAGAAATTAGCAGAGAATCTCTAAAACCAAAACACTGTCTGTATTGACGTAGCACTTACTCAGCTGTAAATCACAAAATGCACCACAAAGATGAGTAAGCCTGTTACACATGAGGTAACTTTGTACACAGAGGGGTATATGGGACCAATAGTGGCCTTAGGGGAGGGTAAACTGGGCAACCGCCCAGGACCCCACACTTTAGGGGGCCCCGAAATTTTGCAACAAATTTTTGGCAGGCTGAAGTTTTTGCAAGGAAGTGGCTCTATTTGCATTTTAACACTTGACTATTTATCAAATTCCCCCAAAGGATATTAAAAAGATCCACGATACGTAGGTCATTAAAATTAAGCCTCTAAGGGGCCCCAAATGACTCTCCTGCTGAGGGCCCCAACAACCCTAAGGCCATACCGCTACAATGTGGCATAACTGGGACTAGAATCCAGTTTGCCTGACTCCCACACTCATGCATAGTCCCTTCAATCAGAGGTGGCCCGTGTACATTTAGTCACATCTTTTAGCTCTCCACTGTGTACACCATGCACAGTTAAACACTGGTAGGTGCTCAGAACATAGGTCCGGCTAGAGTCCCTGGGGGATCTTGTATCAGTTTTTGTGCGTTACATTCTTTACTCTTTATGGACAACTATCAGGAGATTATCAGGCTTGAATGCCGTCTCCTGATCATGCTCCAGGGAGCATGAATCTTATTGCACCTCCATGCCGTATATTGTATCTATCTATTGCACCATCCCACCATGAGGTACGTGCATAAGCACAATTTTTCCCATATAATTGTTAGATGTCTGATCCTCCGGATAACTGCATCTAAAGAGTGATTTAAGGTAACTGTGTGTCTGGGGCCAAAATAATTACTTCAGTTGTATTTTTTCATATTTAAGATCAGGGCTACAGCTGAAGATTAAACATACAAGACATTTCAGTAAAATACTGTGACATTTTTGTGAGTACCTTAAAAAATCTGCCCATTTTTGTTATCAAAGCGATCCTCATTTCTTTGTACGTTACTTTCCGATAGTTGCCGAAAAGACAGGCATGAAGCCTGGAAATAGTGGTTGCTTTGTAAATAAAATATAGCTGGTATGAGCTAGCTGGTAGCATTTCTTAAAACTCACAGTGTGGATATTTGCTTTGTACTTGGCTTGGCTTTGTCTTTCGTGCACTATAACCAGGCAAGATGATGAAATTAGGAGCATGTCTGTATGATTGATTTAGTCTTAAAATAGTAGAGTGGGCTGTTGTTATAGCCATGAGGATCCAGGAAAAAATGATAGTCAAGGAATTTTGTGGGTGACTTATCTTTTATCAGACCAAGTGTACAGCTGGGAGGAACAAACATCTATGTCCCTCACAACTATACAGTTAGTCCAATAAAAGATATCACGAGGCTTAATGTGACGTATGAGGAATGCAGCCTCTTTAGTTCTGTGCTGGGCATGCATTGATATCTATGGTACACCTGTTTGCTGGTGCACTGCCAATGTGAATGCTTTATCTGCTTCCAGATGTAGCATGGGTAGAACAAATGCACTGTGCTTCACTGAGGTGCTCCCAGTGGGTCCTCTGCCTTATCTGTCATTTTAAAAATAATTCCTGCAGAACATCTCTTTTCCCACTAACTTTATCCATTATAAAGTTATTTTCTATCTTCAAATCCATTTTCCTTGTGGAATAAGCTTCTGCACAGACGCATCTTATCTTTTTAAACCGAGCATCTTGTTTGCCTTGTCCTTCCTTCTCATATTCTTTAATTCATTGTGTCAGGCATAACGTTTTTATACAAAGCTTGCTTGAGGGCAAGGATCTTTGTAGCATTAAACAAAATTATCCATTGCAATTTTAAAATGACCTGTTATGGAATTTGCTGCTACAAAGGTTTTGGGGGAAAAATGCAAATAAACTCTGTAAAAGCTAGAAGCAATCAAAGGGTTTTGAAATTACTAGGCTGTATTTGAAATGACAATGTTGCTTTATTAGGAAAGTCCACAGGAGACCTCTCCTGATCTGCAGTCACACCTGAGGTGCATGGAAGGAAAGATGAATGTAAGCCACAGGAAGAGTGATTGGCTTATGGTGAAGTGAGAACAAACGGGGCATTGTTACTTCCTGGCTACTTTCATGAAGAAAAGGGAAATAGATTTTTAAGATGTCATTTCTGTAATTCTGTGGGAGAAAATGACTTCCGCTTCTAATGCAGAACACCTCAAATGCAGAGAGCCTTTGATAAGTCTTAATTCAGCAGAAATGTGACAGCTATCACTGTACTGTCATGGACAGATTTTAACCCTGCTCCTTTCAAGGTCTCCAAAATATCATTCATGTTGTTTTTACTAATGTCAGCACTAATTATCCTGATCTCTGGAACTTGCCCAGAATAAGTCAGTCTTTCAGGGGACTAGGTATCTTGCTTAAAAGCTTAGATATCTAGGATAGCTTTAATTTATGAATAACTTTCACTGTCACTAATCAGAGTTATATATATCCAAGAAATAGGAATGGATGCATGAAATAAATGGGAAAGCATTCACAAAGAGAAGTTCTTCGTCTAAAAAAAAAAAAAAGTTCAGCTAAAAGATAATAAAATGAAGCAAGCAGGACTCGTGACAGAGGTGATCTCTTTTATTATACCAACAAGATTTTTGCAAAAAAAAATCTTTAATTGCAAGCTTTCGCATAAGGCAGCAGAGAGAAGATTGTAAAAGTTCATGTTTCATGGGAGAATTGAAGTTGTGGTAAAATCTCCTGTTTGGAAAAGTTAATTTTATATGCAGATTAGACAGAGAAAAGTTGGAATAATCTGTTTACCTTGAAGTTGTTTGTTGGTAAGCCCAACGTGTTTGGAGACCGATTCATTTTTACTTCACATGTTGAGTGATGGCTGAGTCAGAGCTGCAGGGCAGAACCTCAGATGGGGTAAATTGTTCTTGCTCCACTGAAGTCAGTACAGCTATGAAAATTCACACCAGCTGAGCAGCTGTCCGCAAGTGCAGAACAAGAGAATGCTGCCCTCCAAGCCCTAAGGAGAACTTGGCACTTAAATTTCTTGTTACTTAAATGGCTTCCAGAAATCAAAGCTCCAGAACAGAGGTTCTCAAACACGTTTGGCGTCATGTCCCCCTTTTAGTTTGTCATTCTGTTGCGCACCCCTCTGAAACCATACTATGGATAATAAAAAAGTAACCTTGTATGCCCCTACAACCACAGTGTAGCCTCTTCAAAATTCCAGAGAGATTTAAAGCTGTTCTTCATTTTTTCTTTTTTCTTCTTTTTCCCCATTTATATTTCCCCTTTTCTTTGTTACGCTTTCTCATCCTTTCCTCTTGCATACCTCTAGACATTTGCCTCCAGGGATGCATGTACCACAGTTTGAGAAACACGGATCTGGAATATTTAAGCATAGACTTCTCAGTCAACAACTTTACATGTAGAGTCATATGCAAGCATTTAATTTTACAATACCTCACTAAGGTTGTAGTCAGCTTGACTGGAATCCAGCACTGCTGATTTTAGTTCATTTATTTTTACTTAGCTTAAAATAGTTATAAAAACCCAAAGATTTCATTCATCTTCCTAGCTTTCGTGTTTAAACAAACGATATAGGAGTTGTTCAGTAAATACTGTATTTGGGAAGAAAAATTTAAGCGGAATTAAAAAAAAGTTAGCTCTGTTGTGCATGTTAGATTTTTGTTGATTTTCACGAGAAATATTAAGAAGATTCTAATATTAAGAAGATCCAATGCACTTATGATGAAAAGTGGTGATTCTTCCTTGCTGCTCTTTTCTTGGGCGCAAAAGATCGTGGGGAACTTCTGCTCATTTTCAGCTCAAACTCTATTGGAAAGTGGTCGCTCACTGCAAGAGCCTGGGAAGTTGAAAGAAAAAATGTAGTCATAGTATGTAGTATACAATATAGCTGCATTGTTGGATACCACTCTTGTCCCATGTAGTTATGTGATATGACTGTGCACTTTCCAGACTTGGCTCTAGAGGTGGTTACATTTCAATGGTGGGTGAAGTCAATGTATAAGTCTTATGAGTGTTCAGGAAGAAGGTGAAATCAATTTTATAAATAAAGTATTGTACAGCAACAGCGATATGAATGCTATTGTTCCTCTCATGCCGAGAGAAGTAGTTTGTTTAGTCTGAAGTGGGGCAGAAGGCAGTAGTGGATCCAGGAATGTGGCAAAGGGGGTGCAGCCGCACACCCTGTTGGCTGTGCTCTGCATGTTCACTGCCCTGTCAGCGCAGGCTCCAGCTGATCAGGGCAGGGTCTGGCTGGAGCCCTTGTTTTTCCATGCCTCTGGAGCTCAGGGATTGAACACTACTATTGTTCACCCTTCCCTTTCTTCCCCCTCCCCTCTGGACTCCAGAGCTACATAAAAGCAGGAGCCCTGGCCAGATCTCATGCTGACAGCTCACATGTGCAGTGCAGCCAAAGCAGGTGAAACTGTGCCACCCCACCTCTGGAACCACCCCTGGCAGAAGGCAGGGCAGGGTGGCACCTTAGAGACTCGCTTGTTCAGAGATATGCTAGTTTTCATGTGCAACAGCCCACTTCATCTGATGCTATGAATGGACTTGTGCTAAGTGACTCTAGGCTGAAAGTCTGGCGGGAGTGTGATCATTTGACCTCACCATTTAGAAAATTCCTCTCTCCCTTTCTCCAGTGTTTACTACTTCTAAGAGACAAAACAGTCACACACCTGCTGAAGCTGATGGTCCTCTCAGTGAACCAGCTGCACATGAAAACATTTTGGCATTGTGTGCGTGGAGAAGGAACCAATGTATTCAATGCATACCATCCAGCCATCAGAAATGGTCTTTGACCAGACCAATTCATTATTCAGTGCTGCAGAGGTGGTCTGTTAATGCAAAACCATGGAAGGATCACATACCTGTTCTTCAGTCAGATTAAAAGCATTCTGGAAATCAAAGATATGTGCAGAGCTTGGGACAACAGCGTTGATGAGCTGCTTTCCAGTGATCACGATTCTAAAGAAAGCAGAGAACCGTTTAGATGTGTCCATGCCAACCACACCTTCCTAGATATCTGTCTTTGGGTGTCTGCTTAGCAACACGTAACCAGGGCGATGGAGTAAATGGAAACAACACTCTCACCATTAACAACTTCTCTGCTGCACGTTCTCAGTCCCAGTGTCCTGCATAGATCTTCAAGGAATCCCTAGATGTGTATTACTTGGTAATGTTGCATTCATGCGGGAAACGGAGCTAAGTGGATCTCCTCCCCACACTAAGCACTGGGCAGAGTTGCCATTCCTCAGGATATTGCTGTGAGCCTCACCAGCTGTGGTGTTCTTATAAAAGCTCCAGCACCTGAGACATAGTGATCAATCATCGGGGAACTGCAGCTTTCGTTAAAGTATCATTCTTAGCCCTCGGGTTGTGGAGGAAAGCCTAGAAATGTGTCCTAAGTATGCCATAGAGGCTCACAAATCAGAAGGCAAAGGAAGAACAAACCCAAACTTTACATACAAAGACGCTGATTCCCCATTCCTATGGGAAGACTGGGGCTCATGTCCTTTGCAGAATCTGCTGCTCTTCCTCAAATTAAAGCCTTAGCCAGGTTCCTGACTGCTCAAAATTATGCCATTTATTAGACTCTAAAACCAATGTCCCCTTTCTCCCAGGAGAGCTCAATCTGTTAACAGAAGCTGCATTTGAATGACTGATAAACACGTAAGATATGATCTATTTATTGAACACCCACAAATATTGAAGGCCTTCACTATAGTTTTCCCCCTGCTCCAGACGCTGGTGGCCAGGCACTGGTGCAGCGACATCAATGCTGCCTCACTGAAGACGGGCAAAGATCTCTGTCTGACTTATATGAGGGTCTTAACATGTGTGTCGTGTGCAGCTACACCATATCTGGTGGCCAGCCGTGCAAATCCCCAGTATGGACAATGCCCAAGTCACTGGGAGTTTGTGTTGTTCTATAACGAGGCTGGTCCTATAATAGATATGTCATTGCACCACCATTCACTGCAGTTGTCATGAGGGTTGCATGGTCAAGAGAAAGTTTCTTTCACGGTTCTGTTGGCTGTAGGATTCCTGCCGCTGTGAATGAACCAGGAAATGTAGCTCTGACTGTATTGGCAAAAGTGATGACCCAGCTAGGGCTGTCTGAGCAAACAGATAGGAGTTCTGCGTTCTAGTGCCACAGGTTGCTTGCAAACACAGGGCTTTATTTAGAGCCAAATTGGATTTTGAACCTTTGCAGAGCTTCACTGGCTCTCTCTGCTTGTTGCTGATCTCTTGGAAACAAGGTTCAGGGATTTGTCAGAACCTAATCCAGAGTGATGGGAAGACACCGTGGATGCTGACATATGGAGGATGGACAAATTGCCTCCTCTGCAAGATGAATGCGAGCACTGAGGCTAGAGAGTGGTATTAAGGAATCAGCAGGGAGAATAGCCTACTCCAAACTGTTGTCCCATTTGGTGTCTGAGGTGAGAAAACGCACTCTTTTCTCATTGCTCTGTGTGTGTGTAGAGGAGGGGGGGAGCTTTGTGCACCTAAACACTCAGTCCTCAATCTCCCATTTGACAGGGTCCCCGCACATTTCTCTTTAATGGGACAGAAGAAAAAATAAACAATGCAGCAAACGTGATACAGTCTGCTTACAGAGGGGCTCCCGAGTCAGTTGTCTCCCTCTCCTCAGAGCTGCGCATCCACGTACAGCAAATCTATGCATCTGAATATTATCCTCCAAGTGGGATGATCCTGCCAAGAGCCCCACTCAACTGACATTGGCCCAATTACCTATGTGCAATGCTAGAGGGGGAACATCATGTAACCAATGAGTTTTCCTTTTTTGTGCCCCAGGGGGTGGAGGTGGGAGAAGGGCCACTGGCATATGACAAAATGCTCTGTGAATCAGGAGCCTTGTATAGCGTGCTGAGGTGTTGCTTATTTGGGATGGGCCGTTTGCTGTTTCTTTTTATGTAAGGGGAGAAAAGAGCACAGAGAAATTTTAGGAAGGTTGCTGGTTGTCTCTGGGATGCTTGGTTCAAACACCCATGGGCACAGCCTGCATGTGTTGTTCATGTTTTAGCCCCAAGCTGTGTCAGTCTATTTACTATTAGCTGGGTGATGCCAGGTAGACAGCTACTACATGCAGCAACCCCAGACCCATTGCCTGGCTCTCAGGGCACAGTGGAGTTGCTCCAGCTCGGCTCTGGATGGAGGCTACTGTCAAAAGAATAACTGGGCAATTCCAAGTTCCCCAATCTAGCTGGAAATACTCTGCTCATAGTGTCATTTGTGGTCGCATCAGCTACTGTGATTTTGGATTTAAATCACAGCAAAAGCCCAGCACTTAAAAGGGAAGCAATCATAGGGTCCCTAATTAGTTCTTTGGTCTTGGATCCTCAGACAGATTTAGACAGCAAATTTCTGATGATTTCATTGGGCATTAGGTACCTAAATGCTCTGAGGGCCAAAACCTTGGAGCCCAGTATTGAAAGATTTGTATTTAAACAAGCTATAATAATGTAGCAATCCAAAGCAGTAGTTTCAATGCATATATCACAGGACCTCAGGTATCTGAATCCCCTAAAGTCCCCCCTTGATAAAGGAAATCAAAAGAGTTAAGAGTTTTTAAGGCTGTATTTGCTAATGAGCAGGATGTTTATTGTCCATAAACCATTCTGTTTATCATAGGAGCATGGCTTGTCATCTGGAGCACTAGGAATCTTAGCCTTAAAGCAAAACCTGATTTTTGCATTTGTCATTTGAAAAGATAAGAGCAGTAGCCAAAATAAGGAGCTTATTGTAATTGTAGACCCTGAAAACCACTCATTATTGATCAGGTTGTCTTTGCAGGGGTGCCTTTCACTTAGTTAATGTTTGTTAAAGCTCTTTGAAGATGAAAACTGCTATATAATTGCCTGTTATTCATCTCAGTGTACGGGTGCTTCTAATGCTGGTTCTCTAGGAAACTGCTCACCAATGAAACCTGCACATTTCTTTGTACTTATGATTAAAAGGATTCTTATCACCCGCTCCAACTGAGCTCCGCATAACCTTTGAAGCCATAACACGCAGTATTTGAAAGGCATTGCCAGCATTCTGTGTAATCCCTTTAGGGGTTTTTTGAACAGGGAGCATGTCTCAAGTGAACTATTATTACCTGTCATATGGGCATCTTGTGCTCCCTTTAACTGTTGTGTCATTGTTGTCGCCAATTAACCACACAAATTCGGACTGAGTTTTCAGCCTGATGTCCTTCCAGTGTTTTTTTGCAACATAGCCACAGCCAGCATTGAAGTCCCCCATGAAGATAAAGTTCTGGAAAGCAGGATGGTAAGAGAAGCTAATGACATCATCAGCAATAAATCCTTAAAGATACTATTTAAAAATCTCAATAAAAACAGAGGTTTCTGAGTACAGAAATAAGAAGCATCAGGACCTTTGTATTAATATCACAGGGAATGTATCAGGTCATAGTCTTTCAAGATGTAACTTCAGTGATATCCATGGTATTCAGAAGGGGTATATTTTGGCCTAGTAGTAGCCTTTACATTGATTTAAAAAAGGAACATGATTGGGCTACTAGAATACAGAGAACTTCAGCAAATCGTAACTGTCTGAAGGCTGGTCAGATGAGATGGCTCCAAGCCAGATTTTTATCTCGACTCATTCATCTGACCAGGAATCAGTTCTAAACTTACCTGGCCATTTTTAGACCCAAATCTCCCCCAGAACTGGTACCTCTGGGACATTCAGATGCTAGATCCAAAACTCCAATTCAGTAACTCTAGGGAGCCAAGGTTAACATTTGTTGGTTTGGTTTGGCTTCATGTCATATCAGATTACTTGACAGTGTTCTTTAAATAATAGTTTTTTCGTGTTATTTGGGAAGCATGTGGATAGAGGATGGATGAGTACATATGCAAATGTGGACGTTTAGTTTAAAAAGAGAAAAAAATCCAGCAATCTAGTTAAGCTTCTGTATTTCATGGTAGAGGATATGAAAGGATTGCTTTAAAATATTATTTGAGTGTTTTGTTGTTTTTTTATGCCGGGGCTTTCCTTTGAGGAAGTTCTGTTTCTTTGCATGTAAGCACTGTGGTAAGGGGAGAACTGAAATGAAACCAGAACACCAAGCTTGGGAAAAGTTCTTTAAACTACTTGTTGGAGCCAAACTGTACAGTTTGTAATTGCTCCAAACAAAGTTTAAGGCGGCAGTTCTCATACCATGTCCACAAGATGATCAAAGTTCCTATGATGCCACTTAAATTTCCTCTCTAAACACAGGGGTGTAGCTTGTAGCCATGTTGGTCTAAGGACATAGGCAGACAAGGTTCTTTGGGTGAATCTGATATCTTTTATTAGACCAACTTAAATAGTTGGAAAACAATTATTAAGCAAGCTTTCAGGTTCAAAAACCCTTCGTCAGGCTGAGGAAGTTTCAGCAGTTGGTGTGTGCTCCTCCTGGATGGAATGAAAAGTAAAGATGCCAGAGGCTGGGCTGGTCTGCATGCAAGACAGGCAGTCAAGTGAAGATGTAGATTGAGCGGTCAATGGGAGAGAGAGGCTGGGTGGGGGAGAGAAGGGGGATGAATAGTAGAGAGGTCTGCCCTTTCTGGGCCCCTCACTCGATCTTCAGACAAACAGAAGGGAACTGTGATGTCTCTTGTAAACCTTCATGCAAATTTATCGCTTTACCCACATCAGGGAATTGCCATTTCAGTGTCTGTCAGTTCAGGTGCTGTGTGTCTTTGTGCAGATGCACAACCTTACATAAGATCATGGGCTCCTGCTCTCTCCAGGAAACCATGTTAGATAGTCCTGTTCATAAACTTATCCAGCGCCCTCTTGAAAGCAGTGGAGTTTCTGCACCACTACTCCAAGACTGCTCTACAGCTTCACTCTTCTGAGAGCTAGAAACCAGCCTAAGTTTGTTAACAGCCAATTTATGCCCCTTTTGTTATTGTAATTAAATAGCTGTTCTTCCTCTCTGGTGAGTACTCATAGAGAGGTGTTTGTCTTTGTGGAGAGAAATCAGGGGAGTCTGGCACAATCCACCTTTGAAAAACATACATACTACAGTTTCTTATTTCCCACATGCAGACAGGGAGTGAGTGGGCAATTTGGGCTTCACCCTTCTCTCTGCCTCAAGCCTATGTTTAGTATAAACCATTTAGGAGTGTATATTTGAACTTCAAGATGACTAACCTTAGATTTCCACTTCTGTTTCACAGCTAAATAGACATCGTAGAGTTCATCAATTTCTCGCACAGCTGTTTCGGGGGTCGTGTGCTGAGGGATTATCACAAAGTCTGTGACCGCTTCGAGGCAAAACAAAATAATAGGAAAAAAATCACTTCATAAAAGTTAGAAGACATTTAATCAAACACGTCAGAAAAAACCTGGATGAAATGGAAAAATAAGCATGTGCTCTTCTTTTAGAAAAAGGGAGTTTCTATTTGAAACAAAACAAAACAAAAACGCTTTATTCAAACAACTTTTTATGAGTATAGTTAAAGTAAGTCCTAATGATACTCCCATTAAGCAGCTTTTCTTGCGACCATGCATAGAACCTTGTGTCTCTTGGGGAAGCAAATCTAACCTTTAAAACTTTGAAACAATTTTTTTTTTATATTGTGAAATCTTATAAATGTGTAGGTGTAGGGATCATGTTAACAGTAAGCCTAGCAGATGTTCTACTAAGGCTTAATCCTATGTCATGCTGAGTGTTGTAGTCCTGTTCTAACAGTTTTAAAGCATGAATTCATCCCATTGCAGCTACTTGCATACAAAGAGCTTAGCTCCTGCACTAGTACAGGGGCGCTCAATGCCCGGATCCGGCCTGCAGCGCCATGTCATCTAGCCACAGTGGCACTGCTCCCTTGCTGCCAAGTCCATGGGGAGCCTTGGGCTCTGCATGCTGGATCCGGCACCCAGTCCCAGGGCTGGGTGGGGGTGGCACTGGGCCCCAGAACTCAATTTTGCTGGGGGGGGTTGGGAGGAGGCAGCACTACTCTCTGGGATCCTGGTGTGGAAGCGGGTGGCGCTGGCCCTCTGGTCCACAATCCTGGTACATGAGGGATAGCACCAGACCCCTGGGACCCAATTCTAGCACACAAGGGGTGATGCTGGACCTCCAGGGCTTGACTTGGCCCATAGATGGCCTGATCCAGCGTGTGGCCAGGATCTGGGCCACTCCTCTGGCCCACGGGGCTAAAAGGTTGAGGACCTGCATTCTGGTCAAGCATTCTGCTGGGTCAGGGCCAGAATGCTCGGTACGTAATGCTGGGATCGGCCACCTACAGCCTGCAAACTACATCTGACCCACCAAACAACAGCATCTGGCTCAGGACACCAGCAGTGGGACTGGAAAAAATGACAACAGGGTTGGACAAATGCTTCAGCAGTAAATTAGTGGGTGGAAGAAACAGTGGTGGCTGGATCATGAGCGATGGCCTGACTTTTGACTGAGCTGTGTTATTTGGGCTGCCACTTCTAACAGGTTGCTTACCCCTGACTTCATGCAATCGAACTTTAAGAGTCCACCTGTTAGACTTCCTTTTGACATGACTGTGATCAGTAATATACCACATGTTGCATGTTTGAAGGTTTCACCTCATAGGAAAAAAAAACCCCCCACTGTCTGCTTTTCTTTTAGCTGAAAAATATCCAATGCGGAGGTGAAATGGCTTCTTCCAAGGACCTATTTATTAACAGCACTATTGCACACGCTCTCCCATTGCTATCACCTTTCTCTAGATGATATATGATGTCAGCATGGTTTGTGGTGCTGGTCACATGAGAAGCTGAGCGCCCTACAGAAAATCAGTAACTATACTAGCTTGTATTGCTGTATCAGCAGCAGTCAAAGCACATTTGTATCATAACATCAGCGCAAACCTGGAGACACGGATCTAGATTGTATTTCTGAAGAAATCAATGATGAGCAACCTTTTACTTTTCTGTCTCTGATTAGGGGAACTAGAGCCAATTCTGAGAAGTCCCGAGTACCTGTTGATTTCTGGTGAGAAATGAGTGCCCTGTATGTTACAGGACCAGGTTTTTCAGGTGAACTGTTTGCTATGAGAGAGGTCTTTTGAAATAAGATTTCTGACACTTTCATCTGTCCTGTACCATGCATATGGCCTAGTAGAGGGGGTGAAACTTCCTTTCCAATTTGCAATTTTTTGACACTCCTACGATTAAAATGACTTCTAAATGTCAAGGTCTGTTTGCGATGAAGCTACTATGTCCATGAACATCCTCCTTGCAGTTTCTACAGCAAGCTAACCGACCCCATGACATCCTGCTTATAGTGAAACTCAGTGTTACTCGCTGTTTTCCCCTTTTATTTATCAAAATTAGCTCTTGGTGATATCTTACCACTTCTTGGAGCCTGGAACCAGACAACAAAGGGTTCTCTAGAAAAAGCATCTTCATCCCCAGGCTGACGGTCAGGATACTGATAGGTTTGCTTCACTGATACCAGTTTTGGTCTGCAACACAATAGGATCCATAAATAGAATATTACGTATTGCTCTTACTGACAGCTCGCTCAGGTTTGTTTCTGTAGTCAGTGATTTTCTTGGTAGTGGTAGAAGTTACATTATATTACATTTGTGAAGACCTTACAAAATATCAGTATGGTAGGTAGTCTGAATAAGAGCATGCTTCAACATCAGCTGTGATTCCTAGATCAAGTAGTTAGCATTTGCTTTGCATCCAAAGATTGAGGCTTGGTAAAAATAATAGTTGCAAAAACTGAGGTCAATCCCAAATCTAGGCAAGGACTAATTCCATAAATGCAGAATAGGAATCTGCTGTTTTGGGGTTTTTTTTGCCTGAAGCTGTTGGTTTGGATGAATGATTATCACCATATTGGTGCATGTGGGGAACCAGAAGATGAAATCCTAACCCTGTTTGAAGCCAGTGAAAAAGTTGCTATTGGCTTCAGTGGGGCCAGGAGTTTACCTGGTCTCTAAACAGCCAGGATCCAATCCAGGTAGGGCTTTGTGTCAAGATCATAAGCCTGATTGATATTTGGGCATGAAAGGGAAGCCAGTGCAGTCATGTGAGAGTTGGCATACCAGACTCTCCGGTACTGACATTGCTAAGACAACATACGGCTCTATTCTACACTAGTTTGTAATCACCATGGTGTAGGTACAGTTTGCAAAAGGAAACGGTAGAGAATTCACTTACCTATAGATGAAAGCATATTGTTCCTTATAGGTTTTTCTTCCTAATCGTTCACTGATCACATATTTGAATTCTTTTTCTGTTCCTTTTGAGAGACTAAAAAGAGAATATTTAAGTGGATGTCTCTGTATATAACAATTAGGTTTCCATTTAAATTTACATGAGTGAACATGTACAAGGGTCAGAAAAAGTGACTTCTTGTGGTGGGTTACAGAGATAAGAGGCTGACAATTGTATATTGTATTGTGTGGTATATTCACTCAATGTTTTCCTTATAAAACTTTCATTCCGCTCTTTTTGACCTTGAGCTTGTACCAGGCTATTTGTTCTTTTTCCATATCACATTTCTATTCAGTTTTACATTATTTTTTTCCAGAACAGTAAGTAATGGGTGCATCATTTTAATTTCAATATTATCTTTATCTTGCAAAGTCGTTTTGTATTAATAGTACTACCTTTTTCTGTGTCAGTTTATCAATTAACTTTTTCAAAGCCCACTTTAATCAGACATTTATGTCCAAGATGGTATGTGAATTTGTGCTAGATGTCTTCAATAAGATAATTAGGGGCATGGAACACTTTCTTGTGAAGAGGGTTTGAAAAGATCGGGACCCTTTGCCTTGGAAAGGAGTAAAAAAGACACCTCATAGTAAAAATCTATAAAATAATGCAGGTGGTAGAGAAAGTAAGTTGGAAGCCTTTTATCTCCCCGTCTCATAGTTTCTGGGTTTTTGGCTGTAGCCATGTTGGTCTAAGGACATAGGCAGGCAAGGTTCTTTGAGCAGCTGTGTGATCTCTTTTATTACCCAGTTGGTCTAATAAAAGATATCACATCTACTCAAAGAACCTAGTTTGATATTTAAGGTGGAAAAGTTCAAAATTGACAAATAGAAATATTTTTTTTGCAGGATGTATAATTAGATTGTGGAACTCATTGCCATTGGATGGAACTGAGGCCAAAAACCAGCATGAGTTGAAGAAGGATTGTATTTTTTATGTAAACAGTGGGAACATGCAGAGGTATAATAGCTAAGGCTAATGGGCTAAATTTAGGAAGTGAGAGAGAACCTTGTTAAGGCTTCAGTCTCTGATTTCTAGGGATTAGTTTTGATGGAAATTCTTTGGGGCCAGATTACTGCCTGCTGTAGGCTTCTCACACCTTTCTCTGAAACAGCTGGCACCGACTTCCTTCAAGGGTACTGCGCTATATGAAGCACGGTTCTGACCCAGTATGGCAATTCCTATTTGTCTCTGTTTTCCTGCCAGTTCTCATGACTTTATGGCCTTGCTTATGTGTTTGTGTACTTGAGTAGTTCACCTTACCTGTTAAGCTTCTCCATTAAAAAAGGGCATGTTTTGTTTTGGGTGTCCTTTATTTCCATCACTAGCATGATGTCACAGCGAGAAATAACCTGCAATAGGAAAGGGCAAAGGACATATAGCAGGATTGCATTAAGGGTGCATGGAAGGACTGGAAATTTAAAAAGAGACAGAGCAAAGCAAGCACTGAAAACCAATGGTCATGATAAGGTGGAAATGCCCGTTGTGAGACTATCTTGCAGGTGATTGGGGTGGGGATGTAGATGGAGAGAGAACATGACTGTAGTGTTAGCTACTGAAGGCAAAGGGAGTGTCCTTTCTTTCCAAGCTGGGTGGTTGCCCCATGTAGCTCATTCTTCTTTGAAAACTTTTATGAACCATTCAGAAAATCCTTGAGGATGTGAACAAACTCTGCCTCTGGTGAGAGAACTGTTTGTTTTCCCCAGCTGGTGCTTCTGCAGATCAGCTGATGCTATTTTTGTCTGTCTTCATCATCTTGTGGCTTTAGCTTGTCCACTCTCCTTTAGGCCCAGGAGCACCTTACCAAATAACTTTGCTCACTAGGGCTAGGATTCAAAAGGATGGTTATGCATTCTAGTTCCTAATTTGTGCTTATGAAGCCCCAACCATATCTGTGCTTAGTTGTTCCTTCTCATGTCCACACTTGAAAGTATCTAGCTAGGTACTGGGGCACTTAACTACTGCACATGCCCATAATATTCACCATTCTGACTGAGGTCCATGGGGGCACATGTGCAGTAAGCTAAAGTCATTTTTGCATTTAATAATGGGATCCATGAGTGCGTAAGGGACCTTGTTGGCCCATTTTCCTACCTGCATTTTGAGAACAGCCATATCCACATCTTGACTCTTTCACTGCAATGCTTACCAGAATGTCATTGGTTCCTTTGCCCTCACCCCTCCCGTAGACTTGTCTATAAATATATGGCTTGTTTTCTTCCAGCAAATGTTGCTGTCTCATGTTGGCTTCTGTGCTCTGACTCTCTTAGGATGTCATTGGTTGGCTTCTTCTACAGGTAACTTTGGTTTAGCTAACTATAGAAGGCTGCTGTCAGATATCCAGCAAGGACGCCTGATAAAAGCATAATTTTGGCTAACATTTTTGGCAGTTTCTAAAAGTGATCCATTATTCATTGCAATGTATGAACAAATAAGGTATTTTATTGCCCTGTGTTGGCAGGGAATCGTGCTGCCTGAGTGCCTGTCTGGCCTCTTCTGTTTTGATGTTTTCCTATATAGGCAACTGACTTATTTGGGGTATTAAACCCTCTCTCCCATGTCATTTCAAACTGAGGGAATTTAAAAACAAATGTATAACTGCCATTAGCAAGGACAAAATACATGACGTTTCTTCTCGGCGAGTAACTTTCAACAACAAAACAGATCATACAAACATAAAGGCTCACAGCTAAGTCTCAGCCGCACTCATGGTCATAGTGACTTGCAAACGACACGTCATTTCCCTTATTCTCAACTTGGAATTGATGTGCCCCTGCCTACGAGGGTGTTTGTTACACCCGCAGCCTGTCGGCAGCACGCAGGTCAAGGCTGCAGGGAACTACAGAAGTGCTACCTAGTCCCAGAACAGGACTGAGTCCTGGACACACATCCCTCTTCCACATTTCCTGGTGGCTGGCCTCTTCCTGCATGGCCTGTTAGCTGGTGTGAATCTCTGTGGGATGCACTCGGTATTTCTATCCAAGTCATGGGGATCTGGGATGCATAAGTCTTCCTGAATTCTGCCTGTGGAGCCACATAGATTTCATAGATTTCATAGACATTAGGGCTGGAAGGGACCTCGGAAGATCATCGAGTCCAGCCCTCTGTCCCAGGGGCAGGAAGTCATATAGGGTCACAGGATCCCAGCAAGATAAACGTTCAATTGACTCTTAAAGGAATCCAGAGTAGATACTTAGATTTTGGATGCAGCAGTGTCCAATGTTGTCACAAATAGGAGCCTTAATGCATCAGAGCCAGTTTCTGCTGCAGTCAATAGGAGTCTTTCCACTGACTTCAGAGAAAGCTGGATTGGGCTCCTAAGAAACATCACTGGCCTCTTGGGACTGATGGCATGGAAAAAGTTAAACATGTGTGTGTCTGCAAAAGAAGACCCTTGGAATAAAAGCTGTTTGGAACAGACACTGACTCCTCTTGGTTTGGACAAGCGCCTAGTAAACTCTGGATGCAATCACTAGTTAATGTAAACATAATATCTATTTTTTTGGGTGGACAGCTTTGTCAGGCACACGGAGAGATTCTTCCAGGGACTTTTCTAGAATTTTTTTTCCCCTCACATGTGATTATCATGTGTGTGGGACTAATCATATGCGACTATGCAGTTATATATTTTAAATGTAAATATGCTAGACCCAAAGCTGGACTTACAGACCATATAGCACATGCCATTGCTAAACAATCAGGTGCAACAGTGTGCTTAGAGGTATGGAAAGGCTCATTTCAATGGTTCTTTACTTTTTTCAAAGTGGCTTAAATATAAGAACACCCCCCACCCCTTGCCTCATCGGGTAGAGGAGCTGCAAGGCAGTTATAACTAATGTCAGCTTGTACCTACCCCTTTCTCCCCGTACGTCTTCCTTCTACTTTCCTATGCACTAATCATCACTCACTTCCCCTTATACTCTATGCTGTCCTTTCACTGCATAGTTAGTTCATAAAGGTGCATATCTACCCTGCCTTCATCTTGTAACCCCTACATAAGATGATCAGAGTGATAGCCTTCCCACCCACAGATGCTCCCAGCTTGTCCTCTACAGCTATAGAACTGGATGAAGACTGCACAGTCTGGATGCCATACCATTCGGGGTTTCCCATGCACTAGGGAAATCCCTAGCTGTCCAGTTCAGGCACCATTAGGGCTGCTGTGTGTTGCAGGACCATCAAAAACCAAGTTCTTCTTCATATTTTCAGTAGATATTTTACATATGGAAAGGGATGTGTTGCCCTCAGTAGGAAACCTAAATGAGGTATAATGTTATGCCAGGATAACTGGAAATGATACAATTTCAGGAGAACTCAAAATAGCAACAACTAAAGTAAGTTCAGTGTAAATCACTTCTGGTTTAATGGAAGCAGTGGGCACAGGACAAAGTGGAAACACAGACTTCAAACTGGTTTTCAAGAAAAAGTGTCTCCATTTCAGGTACTATTTGAAGAGAGAAGAACACTAATAAATGGCCTGATCCTCTAAATGTGTACTCATCTAAAACAGTCCCATGTGGATTTCTTGGATGAACAAGTTGTGCAGTGGGTATAAAGCTACCATTCATAGTTGTAACCCTTCATCAGATGAGTCCGGTGCACAATTAAAGAACATTACACATAAGAACCTTTTACTTGCAGAGGTGCTAATCCTGATAAGATAACATAAGACACATCCACTTACAAAAAATTGTGAGTAATGTTTGCCCAATTCTGTTCATGAAGGCTTTAATGTATATATTAAATACTTTTAAATTATATTGTTGCTGATAAGAATAAATGTGTACATTCATGCTACTACAGCTACAAATTCAGCCACTGTAACATCTTTAGATGTTAGAATCTTTGAAGTAACAGATCCATAATTTTAATCAAATTGACAGCTGCAGGATTTATCTTTCAGATTATTCTGTAACCTTCTAAAAACATTGTCTCTTTCAAGAAATGCATTGAAAAAGTGGTAATGCAACTTCCTTTGAGAGAGGTTAGAAATCAGGGTTTTGACTTATAAATCGGTGTTCTTGTACTGATCATTTATGAAGAAGTTTTAATAAGTAGGTTATACTGTCCAGCTAACAGAAGTATCATGCAATGATGATTTTTCTTAATGAGACAGAGGCACTTCAGATTTACCATTAAAGAAATAAGACTAATGATCAAACTAAATGAAAGCTTTCTAAGTAAAAAACCAAAACAAAACTATTTTCCTTGCACATTGTACAGTCAGACTCTTTCATCATAGTTCTAAATTTCCAAAGGAAACTATCTAGAATTTTTATATTTAGATTAGCTCGCAACTAAAACTTGCCAACCAGACATTTTTGGTCTACAGATATATTTTTACTACTAGCTGTACAAAATGTTTTGTAATGCTTGGGCATCTATTATTTTGCAATTCAACCATGCAGAAATAAAATAAGCCTCAAGATGAATTAGATAAAAGTCCTCAAAGAGTTTAAAGTTTACCAAATCCAGGAGCAGTGAACGTACCTTTACAATGACATCTACGACTTCAGGTATGGCTCTTTTTGCTTCTCCAAAAGTCCTCACATTGAAGGAGCAGATTTTTATGCTCAGAGTTGCATTGCAAAAGAAGAGCAACACAAAAAAGATGCCCAACATCTTTAAACCTTGGCCAAAAGTGAGCGGGTGCAGTCTCCTTGTGTGTGTGTGTGTGTGTTTGTGCGTGCGTGTGGAATCCTGTTTCCAGAGCTGAGGCTGCTATTTAAATTAAGTTAACCGCAGGGATCACAAACCACTTAACAAAAATTACCGACTTCCTCCTTTTTTATTTATTTCTTTGTGCTGGGCCAGGGAACGATGAGAAATTGAACTTTTGCCTCAAGGGATCACCAGAAGCTTGAAGCCAACTTCCCCAATCTGGAGGGGTTGCTCTTTCACTTTGAAACACAGCATCCTGTCCCTAGGCTTACATAAAATGTTACTGATATTAGTATTACTTTAATTGAAATATCAGTCCCAGTATGCTGGAAGCTTTCCAAACTCCAGGGGAAGTTGATCCCTGCTCTCAGGACCTCACAAACTGATTATGGCTGTTGGCTGGATTCACTGTGGGCAGCTCAAGAGAAGTGGTTTGTAAAAGGAGCCTACATGGGTGTGGGCGGAATAGGGCCCTCACTGTTGGGTTGGTAGGAGTCATCCCCAGCGAAGGAGGTTGTGGAAGAAAGCCCAGAGGTGCTTGTGTGGAAAGCTGCCAAAAGCATCGGCAAGGCTGGGCAGTGCAGAGGGCATAGCCAGGGGACAACATGTAAAACATTTCAAGAGAGCACAAATAGGGTAGGGCAAATTTATGCAGGGCTTTGAATGTGGTGGCTAGAAGCGTCAATTAGATCTGCTTTGGGGATGAAAGCCCCCAAGTCCAAGTTATTCTTCACAAAATCATATCCCATTCTCTCAGCACATGTTCATTTCTCCACCTTGCTCCTGATGATCATCATTATGGTACTGGTGTAACTAGAACACCTGCCCCTAAAAGCATAAAATAAAATCAACAATAGCATATTGAGAAAGAAACACATAGCAGGGTTAGGAATGTCATTCTTTGCTTTAGAATTTAGTTTACTTAGCAAACACAGCCGGTTCTATGAGATGGAAGACTGAAATATCTAGGATTTAGTCAAAGCTCTTAATCACTGGACAATGGACACTAGGAAGAGAGGGCCCTTTGGGTCCAAACAATAACTGGTTTAGTGACACAGGTTATCCTTGGATGATCATGACCCCTTTAGCTTTGACAAAAATACATCTTGCACAACAACAGCTAGCCAAAGAAAATATGAATGGCATGCTGTCACTGCGAGCTACCCCACTGATATCCTGATTATTGGGCAAGAATAAAGTTGCAGCTTGTTCTAATTAGAAGACACAAGATCAAAAGTCTACCCTGGTTGCACGCACCCTGTCAGCGTATTTCCTGTTGGTGTCATAAACCTCTCAGGTCAACTAAGTCTTGCATAATGAGTGAGTTGCATCCTTCCTTTTTGACTGCCGTACTCATGTTCACCGCCAGGCGAATCAGTTACTGGTTGTACAACGGCAGCGGGCACAGCATAGTTTAGAGAGCCCCATTTACTTGAAGCCCACAGTTATTTTTTATTAGCCTGGGTAAGTTACTGCCAGAATTACTGGGCAGTCTTTCATGCCACAACACACACAATTAATTTATCCACATCAACTGACTAGCCAATGACAATAGCAACCTGCTGGTAGACTGATCTGGACTCTCTCATCTGTGTGTCCAGGTGCTGGAGAGATGAAACAAACTTCTTTCACAGTTTTAGGAAGGTGGCCTTCCTTGTGCAGCAGTTATGGAAATCTGCTCTGTTTACCCCAGGTCTGGACCCTGTTGTATTCCCACCACTTTGGGCTGATGGTTTTGTACCACTAGTAGTACAACTTGCATCTGTCAGCATCTCCATTTCTCCACATGTGTTTGTGGATTGTCTGATCTCCTCACTTGTGTCTTCTCAGCACAAGATATCATTGATGAAGTGCTGTAATCCATGTTTCATGCCCCGTATCTTTCCTTTTATACTTTTCATGATATGGGAGTTGCAGTAACAACAGCTAGGCTAGGAGCTCTCCCAGTGGGACCTATGGCTTGACACCAGTTGTTAGTTTTCTTGACATAGCAGATAAATAGCACTTCTGTGCAGGCACCCAGGAAGGACGGACACATTTTCCCCAATGCAATGCTGATGAATTCATAGCATGGCCTAGTATGAATGAGTCCTCACTTCTCTGTAATGAGGATATTCTACCTGTCCTGGGCTGCATGTGCAGTGAAGCCTCACCCAAGAGTTGGAGCTTCTGCTGCTTCTCTTGGTGGCTTATTCCAATGGCTGATCAGTCTCATTGTCAAATGTGTGTTTTATTTTGAATTTGAACTCATCTGGCTTTCTCTCTCAGCCATTGGTTCTTATTACACCTTTCTCTGCTAGGTTAAAGAGCCATTTTGTAACCAGTGTTTTCTCCCTCTGCAGGTGCTTACATCCTGCCATCAAGTCACTTCTTGTCCTTCATTTAAAAACAAGTGGAAAATTTGGAGGCAGGATAATCTGCTGTCTTGTCTGGGGGGCTGACATAGTAGGGATGTATCCTGGGCAAGGGCTGCAGGGAGGGTAGGAGATTCTGACAGGTACCTAAAGCGCTCTTCATGGGACTGACTGCCATCTGCTTGATTTTAAAGCAGAAGGAGGAACAGGAGGTAGCCAAATTGCAGAGTGAGGACTCTAAATGGCTTAGTACTTCACTGATGGATGCACAACTATCTTGGCAAAAGAACGACATTTAAGGCAAAACAGAAAAGCACCAAGGAAACTGGAAAAAGAAGGTAACAATCAAAAGCAACTAAAGAAAACCTTTAAATAAATTAACAAGTAAGCAAATATAAATAACTAACAAGTCACAACAGAGGAATGAGGCAAGCTGGGGCTTATCGCATACCAATTACCAAGAGCTAAGGTAATACAAAATGTCCTGGGAAAGAATGATACTTAAAAACCAAAAAGTCCAAGTAGCAGCTTCAAAATGCTTTAAATAGGTACAAATGGAACTAACACAAAATGCAGCACTTGTCCCTTGAATGATTCGGACTAGATCCAAAAGGTGACAGATCTGAAGGGAGGAATGAGATGACTGTTTAGCTGAGAAACTCAATTTAGCTCAAAATGTTCAGTGCCATATACGGTGGAAGTGGAAACATTGGCTGTAAGTTAATTATCACTATATATTAATATACAGTGATTATTTGTGCCAACAGACATGCAGCAATGATTCCCCATTGAGACTGCCTGGGAGAGTGATAATGAATTCACACATATTTTTAAGAGAACAAGAGACACCATCAATTGGCTGAAACTTTTTTTTTCTGATCATTAGTCTTTTTTTTTTTTTTTTTAAAGAAATAAAAGCCCAGACATTTCAGTTTTTTGTTACTGAAGTTTATCTGGGTGTATTTTACATTGTTTTCAAACTGTGCAGGTGTGTAGAGCTCAGGGCCACATGATTACTGATTTTGAGTTCTCAGAGTGCTACACCACCCCTGGCCCTCGGGGCACAGCCAGAGCTGGGAGACAGGAGGCCCTGCATCTCCTACTGGAGCTGGGATTCCTGTCCACCCACTTCTTGTTTCTGTGTTATCTTTCTGGGCCTGGTCTCCTGGTTCCAGCAGAGATCACAGGGTCTTCTGGTGCTGGTGGTGTGTGCAGGTCTCCAGTCTCCCAGTGGTGGTAGGGTTCTGGAACCAGATAGGTGGAGCAGACAGGAGTGCGCTCATTGGCTATCGGCTCTGCCCCCAACCTTCCCATGGGATGGGGGAGTGGAGCTGCAGGTTGCTGTAGCCCCTTGTCCTCTAACTGGAGATCCTAGTTGTGACACTGTCAAGATTTCTGTAAACTGCCCAGGGTAGCAAGGGCTGACTGGACAGTTTCTCCCACCTAATCATGCCCTGCTGCCCTGTTGCCATTGCTGCCTGACTGCCTATATCTCAAGAAAAAAAAAATCTCCCCTGTCCGTTCAACAAAGCAAGAGCACTGTTTGCAGCTCAAGTCATGTTGAAGATACAAAGAGAAAAAGTTTGGAATCCTTTCAGAAAAAGCAATGAGAAGAAAAACATTTAAATATCAACCCTTTAAACACCAAACTCCTTTATAAACTTTTTTCTAAATTCTCAAAAAAACCCAAAAACAAAAAACCCTGCCTTGAGCAGCTTTGTGGCATGTAAAATGTCAGGGGAAATTGCTTTCTTGATGGGAAAATTAGGGCAGAGATTAAAGAAGTGGATTTATAGTAGCTATTTATAAATAAATATAGCTACATGTACCTTAGCAATGGCATTGCTATTATCTCTCCAGAGAGAAAGTGAGTGAGGGAGAAGCAAGAATGCCTCCTAGTGTGGTGAGGTGGAAAGTTGCACTCTCATGAGTTTGGAATTGTAACATTGCTGACAGGTACCAAAATCAGGAGTTCTCTAGGCTCGGTCATCCAACAACCACCCAACGATCCCACACGCATCATGAATAGAATATGCAAAGGTGTTCTTATCTAGGCTTGATCCTTGCCAATTTTTCATGAAATCTGTGGAATGAACAGGCCCCTGAAGGAAATGTTTAAATAGTCAAATAAATGCCTAAAATAGCTTTTCTGTAAATAAATTGTCTTAGCTTTAAAATAGGACATCTTGGCAATGTCTAGAGGTATTAAGTGCTGCTCACCTCCTTTTAAAAGCTAGAAACTTATCCTTTCTGATAGTATGGAACTTAGATTTCTAGCCTGAAAGAGCTGTAGGATATTGGATTTTAAATGGGATAATTGTGCATTTCTATAGTGCCTGTGAGCCAGAGTGAAGTATCCATAGCCCTGTGGGATGATGGCATTGCTTTACCACCACTGAAACTAACAGATGGGTAAAAGCCCAAAATTTCAGATGTGATAACAGGTTTTGATTGCCCAGCTGGAGGTGCTTTGGGCTTGAGCACCTGAGCCTATCTTGAGCACCTGAAACTGGAGGCCAAGTCAATGCCAGGCACTGTGCCTAACACCCCTGAAAATAAGGCATGCTTTGGAGACCACAAAAATAAGGCACTCAAAAATCAGAGATTTTCTTTTTCTTATAGGGCTGTAACACAGAAAACAATATTTTGTATTCTCTTTGTTGCAAGTTGGTTTTCTAAGCACTGCAGGCTTGCTAGAGCTCAGGA